CAAAAAAAATTCTTTAAAAGCATTACTAGAATCATATTTATAAAAACTGTATCATAAGTCATAACATAAATTCTCGAGTATTAATTCAAAACATAATATCATTATCAGAGTCAAACATTCCTAGGCTAACTGACTATGGTGTGTGCACTGCAATCTCCCCGAGCTCCTCTTTTGAAAACTGAGTACCTGAAACCAAAACTGAAAACCGTAAGCACGAAGCTTAGTGAGCTCCCCCAATCTAACACATACCATACAACAACATATAAAGCACATACTGGGCCTTGCCCACTGCATCGGACCAATGTCCGGACTAACTGGGCCTTGCCCTACATCGGACCGAAGTCCGGAAACTGACTAGGACCTTGTCCCCTGCATCGGACCGAAGTCCGGACTAACTAGGGCCTTGCCCCTGCATCGGACCGAAGTCCGGAAACTGACTGGGACCTTGTCCCCTGCATCGGACCGAAGTCCGGGCTAACTGGGGCCTTGCCCCCTGCATCGGACCGAAGTCCGGAAACTGACTGGGACCTTGTCCCCTGCATCGAACCGAAGTCCGGGCTAACTGGGGCCTTGCCCCCTGCATCGGACCGAAGTCCGGAAACTGACTAGGACCTTGTCCCCTGCATCGGACCGAAGTCCGGGCTAACTGACTGAACATAGCATAGCATAACATATCAACTAGCATGAACACATATACTGCATACTACATCGGGCCGTAGCCCGGAACACATAACACATAACACATAAAACATAGCACATAAATCCTGTCTGAGCCACGGAGGCATCAAACATACTAACTACTGCATCGGACCAAAGTCCGGAAACTACTGCTATCTGAACGGGCCGACATTGTGGCCTTAGACCCGTCCCTACTGGAAGGAAACTCACCTGAGACTGCTGAACTGATGCTGCTAATCCTCTTGACTGCTACTTGACCTCTGACTCCGAACTGCTGCTCCACTACTCTTCGAGCTTCAAAAGCCAATAAAACACTTAGTACAACTGACCTCCAAAGGTCACTAGGTCAACTCTGGTCAAAGTCAAAATCCTACTCAATATCAACCTTCCAGGTCAACCCTACTCGCCGAGTTTACCTACTGACTCGCCGAGTTCATATGCTCTGGGTCTTTCTTATTCGCGACTCGACTCGCCGAGTCAGTCTATGACTCGCCGAGTCCAACTAGTTCCAAGTCCTGTCCTGTCCAACTCGCTGAGTCACCACCCGACTCACTGATTCGAATCTCAACTCGAAGGGTTTAGGGTTTCGCGATCTGACTCGCCGAGTCCAAGAACAGACTCGCCGAGTCCTAGACAATCTTCAACCAACTCGTCGGGTTGTTCATCCAACTCGCCGAGTCCATGCCTAACTTCATCCGACTCGACGAGTTGTTCATCCTACTCGTCGAGTTCCTCCTCATCTTCAAGCTACTCTTCGAGTCCACTCGAAGGACTCGCCGAGTCTATCCAGTCCTCAATCCATGCAGTGGCTTTTCGAGCCAAACAGAGTTTCCAACTCATAGATCCATACTTCTAGGGACTATTCCCCACGTAAAGTGGCAAACTTTACGTGTAGATTAAGAGATCTAGGCTCAAAACACCCTAAATTCGGGTTTATGGCAAACATACTTCTTCAACATACCAAGGGCTGATACTTTAGGGGATTCAAGACCCAAAACAAACATGGATCTGAGGTAGAAACCTCAGATCTGAACCTCCAACTCGGATTGGTTAAATATCATACTAAAAATGACCAAAACTCACATATAAGAATAGATCTAGGTGCAAAGGGAGTCCAAGCAACAGCTTATTACCTCCAATTGTTCTGAAATGACTCCACAATCCCAGATCTACAGTCCCTTCTTGCACCTCCAAGGTCTTTCTTCCTCCTCCAAGCTTTAGTGCACTCTTCAAGGCAAGATCTAGCTCAAAAACGGTTATGGCGGCTAGGGTTTGGTGTTCTGGGGTAGAGAGGCAATAAAGGAACCCTAGGAAGGAGAATGAGACGCTTAAATAGGCTCCAAGTTCCCGGATTTAGGGTTTTCCTCGTTCAGACCCAACTCGTCGAGTCTCCTTGGCCGACTCGCCGAGTCGGTCGCTTTCACCACAACCTGGATCCCGCTCGGAATCGCCGAGTCCCTCCATGGACTCGCCGAGTCTCCCCTAAACTTGAGGTTTTCTTTCTTTTCTTGGCTCTCCAAACTTTGGGGTGTTACAATATCATATTCAGTTTGCTCTAACAAAACAAACTATGCACTATATAATTGCTCTTTTTTAAATCCAAATCATCTTCTTCTGCATGTCTATTCCACAACCTACACTTACACTTATAGTTACAATGCATTATATCATTTCTATCTTCTAAATCCAAATCATCTTCTTCTACATGTCTATTCCACAACCTACACTTACAATTATTTTCATGAAGTAAAGAGAAACATCTGGGCACCTAGATTTTATATTGTATGTGTTCATATCCATACGAAATTGTCATTTCCAACCACTATCACAAGACAAGGTTCATGAAAAATTCAATGAAACATCCCAAAAATACAAGTCAAAAATTTCGTTTTTAAAATCATTTAACAAACATAATATTATCACCATAAAATAAAATCATCAAACATGTATCTCAAAATCTCATAAAATCTGTCAACCATATAACAGTCTCATATAAAATATCAGAGTAAGCTCCCAGGCTAATAAACCGTGGTGTGTGTCATGCCATCAACTCGAGTCCTTCCCTTTGCTAGCTGAAGTACCTGAAACCAAAACTGAAATTGTAAGCACGTAGCTTAGTGACCTCCCTCAAACTATCAAATACCATACAAAGCACATATCACAAATAACATAACTCTAGGACTACTCCCAACTGCATCGAGATGAATCCTAACATCGACTTACCCGACATCGGACTCCTGTCCGACATTGGGCTCTCCCCGACATCCGACCGCATCGGGCATTGGGCTCACCCCGACACATACACAACATAACGTATATCATAAACACATAACATAATCACATAATCTTCGTCGGGCTTGCCCCGGAACACATAATACATAACAGAATATCTAACATACATCGGGCTTTCCCTGGCATTGGACCGAAGCCCGGAACACATAACACATATCATATAACATGCATGAATCACAAAGACATCACACATACATAACCACTACTCGGGACCGCCCTTATATCAGACCGAAGTCCGGAAACATATAAACTGCATCGGGCTAAACCCCGACATACTCTACTACTTAAACAGGCCGATATTGGTGTACAAAATCGATAATCAAATAAGCAAAAAGAAATCTGAATAAAGCAACGAACTCATCAGATGGTGATTTATGTCAACAAACCCCCAAAATTTTCGATAGTTGATTAAATGCAAATGATGTTGTTAGCTTTTGTGGATTGAGAGGGTCTGTTCCGACATTCACAACAACTGAAAGTTTTATGGATCGAGCGGATCGGTGATGTGGTGGATGACAGATTAATGTAACTTAGTTGGATGAAAGTTGTCTGACGTCATACTGGTGTTGGTTCCGTGCATCGGGGAGATTGTGCGAGAACCTTTCCCAAAAACAAAAACACTAAATGATGGTGGTCTACCGGTATGAGCTAAGACCGACATATGCAACACATGTGGTGAGTTCCGATGGTGACAGAAGCGAAGGAGAAAGAAAGAGCGTTTTTTTTAGGAGCAACTGAGATAAAAGAAAGACAATTGAGGACAATGAACGACGAGGGAAGATAAAGTGAGTGGTGGTAGAAGGATGGGTAAGTGAGAGAGAGAAAAAAGGAGTGATGACGACCGATGCGAAAAAGGCAACGGTAAAAGAAACTGGAAGCGGTTTGGAAGAAGGGAACACCGATCCTAATATGATTGGTTACAAAATTGGTGGGCAACAGGCGAACTCCATGTTAGTGGTAAAGAGATCGGCTTAATATTATTAAATAATTTAAGGGACCAAACTGTCATTAGGACAAACAAAATAACCAATGCAAGTAGAGGGATCAAAACGGACAAATAAGTTGCATGTTAACTGTTGCTAAGATTCACTTCTTTAATATATAATAATAATAATAATAATAATAATAATAGTTGTATTAATAATAATAAACGACAACAAAAAATAAAACTAAAAGACAAAATATGTAAAATCAAAATAAGTTTAAAGACAACAAAACGACAAAAAATGGATGCATGGAGGGGGTGCATGCAAGAACGACATCTAATGGATGTCTGAGGTGCAGTCCGGGAAAGTGACGAATTATACGGTGACCGGTGGAGAATAACGATTACCAGTGAAGGAGGTGGGCGGTTGGGCAATGATAATTATTTTTTATGTAGCTGAAATAAACTCTTTTGAATTTGTTGTTTTTTAAACTCAAATATCAGAGATAATTGAGTTAGATTTTTGGTTCTTTATAAAGTTTTCAAGAGATCAGTACCTTTATCTCCTAATAAAATAAGATTTGTTTTATTTTTGGATTGATTTTCTGGATTCTTAATTAAGCGTTACATAACTTCTTATTTAACTACTGAATTTTAAGAACTATAGCTTATTATAGGGGGTCCTATCCGCCTATATTACAAATTTATTAAATATTTGATTTATTTAATATAAAGATGAACTATAGCTTATTATGGGGTCCTATCCGCCTATATTACAAATTTATTAAATATTTGATTTATTTAATATAGATAAACTACATATGTATAAGGTATTAGGAACTTTAATAGGGGAGGCCATGGCCCTCCTAGCCTAAAGAGCATCCGCCCCCACTATGTTTAAAGATAGTTTTCTATATGGTAAAGTTTAATAAATTTTAAAATTTAAAAATTTAAATAAGAATGATTAAGAAAAAGGTGGTTTAACCTTAAATTCAGTTGCACTAATTCAGAGAGTGGTTACAAGGGTTTCTTGATGGTGCTATGCCAAGTGCCAGCCTATACCCCTCAATTTAGCGATCATTTCTTTGTTTTTTTCCCTCCAACTCATCCCCATTTGCCAATTCTCTATTCATTTGGTCTTGGAAACTTCTCAAACAACTAGCATAATGACTCGTTCCAAATATCCAATTTAAAAACGCCAAATATCACTCGTTGCTGCTTTGATTCATTCTCGATTGTTTCATAACTGTTTCCTTTGCCTTTTGAGTTTTGATCCTTATTCTTCTTGCCCCCCTGGATATCATCGATCTGATGATCTCTTGAAAAGGCTTTGTCTCTTTTAGTAAAATTCGATTAGGATTTGAATCTTTTGTTGAATTTCGTATCGGATTTCGGAAATCGAGCCGAAAACATAGCATTCTTGGTTAGAGATTATGGATTTGGATAATATAGAGTGTGTATCATCTTCCAATAGAGTAGAAGGTGCAGAGATCCAAAATTTCGGTCCGAAGCCTCGTAATAACACGGGATTGCCTCCTGCTACAAGTGTTCATGAACTGTTGGAGTGCCCAGTTTGCACCGGTTCAATGTACCCTCCAATTCATCAGGTTTTGATCTATTACCTTAATTCTTGAATCATGGGGTTTTATTGATTTGATTACAAGTATAAGTGTATAATTAGGGCAATTTCATCGCAATTTGATCCCATGTCTGAGTTTTTGTATCGAAACGGGAACCGATTACCTAGCCCTAAATCACAGACTAATTAACGAACATTCACCATCGAAACAGAAAAACTTAAAATGAATTTGTGATGGTAGATTTTGTGGTTGTGCCATTTGTAGTTATGAAATATGGTTTGGTTTGGTGCAGTGTTTGAATGGGCACACATTATGCTCGACCTGTAAAACACAAGTGCACAACCGATGCCCAACTTGCAGACAAGAACTGGGAGATATCAGATGTTTAGCGTTGGAGAAAGTTGCAGAATCTCTTGAACTCCCATGCAGATATTACTCATTAGGATGCCCAGAAACATTCCCGTATTACAGTAAGCTGAAACACGAAATGTCATGCAACTTCAGACCTTATAACTGCCCATACGCTGGATCAGAATGCTCAGTCACGGGTGACATTCCCTTTCTTGTATCACATCTGAGAGACGACCATAAAGTAGACATGCACACAGGCTGTACCTTTAACCATCGTTATGTTAAATCTAACCCACGTGAAGTTGAAAACGCCACCTGGATGCTGACTGTAAGACAGACAGACAGACAGACTCTACACCTTTCTTTCTTTCTTTCTTTCTTTCTGTTTAAAACTAAACAAAACAAAACAAAAGGTAAGAAAAGAGTTTTGTGTTTGATTTCAGGTGTTCAATTGTTTTGGAGAGTATTTCTGTCTGCATTTTGAAGCGTTTCAGTTGGGAGTGGCGCCTGTGTACATGGCGTTTGTGCGGTTTATGGGTGATGAGGTGGCGGCTCGAAACTACAGCTACAGTTTAGAGGTTGGAGGGAATGGAAGGAAGCTGATTTGGGAAGGAACACCGAGGAGCATAAGAGATAGTCATAGGAAGGTGAAGGACAGTCATGATGGGCTCATAATACAGAGAAACATGGCACTTTTTTTCTCAGGTGGTGACAGGAAGGAGCTCAAACTCAGAGTTACAGGGAGGATATGGAAAGAACAACAACAACAACAACAACAACCACAGACCAATACTTCTACTGCTACTACTAATACAGATGCTGCTGGGTTGCTCTGCATACCCATACCCAACCAATTTATATGACTGAATATCATCTTATCTTTTTACACGTGTCTTCTGGTTGTACCTTAACAACATTTTACATATCTCGAATGTATTGTGTGGAGTTGGAGTTGGAGTTGAAGATAGATAGATGCATATCAGCATATTTTTGCCCCTGTCCTGTCCTGTCCAATCCTATTGTGCATACCGAAACAAACATTGAGAAAACATATAAGAATTTGTTTCTTGTTTCCATTTATACATATTTCAGTTCCTTCCAAAATAATTCATTCTTCGTACCAACAAAAAGGTGGCTTAAAAAGTCCTTGTTGTTTTTGCTAATTACTAACCCAAGAAACGTCATCAACTTAGACCCTATTTGTTTCAAATTTACTTGTTGAATTTTGATTCACGTTTTAGAACTGATGATGTCATGTCCTTATTGCTATGTTTCTGCAAGATATTGGTCTATACAGTCGTCTTAAAACCATTTAATTAATTGTCTATATCAAGGGGGCATCTTTAAGGGCCAGCTGATTTTTTATTTTATTAGAAGAGTCCATAGCCCAATACTTTTTTATGCATATCAGGCCTGAATATTTAAACTTAGGGTTGTGCTCTCCAATAATCCGAACCAGAACTCCAAAAGTCCAACGATCATGGCCCCTGCTCGTCAGTCGTCCCGCTCGAACCCTCGCTCCATCCTTCGCCAATCACCAGTTCGCTGATCAGTGATTACCGCTCGTCCCGCTCACCGCTGGAATCAATCAGGTATGTTCTCCCTTCTCAGTTCTCTATATTTCTCTCTTATCGTTTCTCCTGTTCAGTGTTCTGTTTTCTCCATCAGAAAAACCGAATCAATCCTTTATTGATGTAGGATCAGATTCAAAACAAATTTTGCATAATTTTGCTCATGATAGATGAATAATGCAGAATATAGGTAATGGAGAATTGGAAATTATTTGACCAGAAAGTCAAAATACAAATGCATCGTAAATTGTGATCTCCACCCTATTTGAACTTTTTAGTTCTCAAATATACGTCTAATTTTTAGAAGAGAATAGGCCTCACAACTTCCATAGTTGGTACTAATTTCTCCGATCCCATTTCTAAATCAGTAACTATCGACATGTCGGAACTTTTGCTGATCACAAAATCGTATCTTTTCTGAGGTTCGATTCGGTTTTCATAAGTTTTTTGAATGCTTATCATTTAATTACAGAAGTGTACATCAACAAATCGATTTGCGTGGGGTTTTATGCTAGGGTTTATTTTAATCCTCTTAGATTGAATCGGTTTCGTTTTTTAGTTTATTGTTTTTTTCAACGACATTGACGAAACCAAGGTATCCGCTCGGTATCACTGGCTTTTGTGTTATCAATGTTGTATTTGCGATTCATGATTAATCTCTTTGCCGTTTGATTTGTTTCTTTCTTTCTGCGGTCGTAATTCTTAGTGTTTGGGGCGATAAAACCTAATAAAATCTCACTTAATCAAACCCCCAAAAGGAAATTAAGCTTCAAAAATATCATATAGAACCCTTTTTAGATCATTTATGGGGTATGCATTTGGCTTAAAGTTAATTCTCAAACAATACTTTTGATCTATCAACTATCAAGTCGTATATTAAGTTATTGGAAATTAAAATTAGTTTTTTTTCTGGCATTATCATTTCCAATAATTAAAAGAGTTTTATGCTTGTTCATCCATAAGTTCTTCAACTGTTGGCTGATATTTCCCTTTTCAAAAAAAAAAAAAAAAACACTGTTGGCTGATTTTTGTTTGCTGAAGTGTCAAGTAAAGTAGTTGGTTGTTTTAGCATCCTAATTGAGTTCCAATATAATAATTCACTAAAATGGATATGGTCATGTGGCCTTGTGTGTCTGAATCATTGAACTTCAAATGCTATTTTCCTTGTGGGTGATTCAACCAACTGGGAGATCATTAGATAATGTTTTAGTTTATTATACTTTTGCTTTGGTCACTGATCTTGTTGAATATATATATATATATATATATATATATATATATATATATATATATATATATATATCAGTAGTTAAATGGAAAAAAAATGATGTCTGTTTCTTTCTAATCAAATCGATGTTTACTTAGGAGTTGTGGCTGGCTTCTTCTGCAGAGTCATATATCTAATGAGTAAGCAATTCATTAGGCAGTTCATCGAGCAAATTGTGTGTGATCTGATCCTGTTGGACATCGAAGAAGATTTGTGATGGTTACAGTCATGATATTGAATTTTATAGTTTCATTGTTGTGCTAAAGAGGTCAATTTGATCACTTATTTCTGATGCAATCGGGTGAAAACAAGAAGTTGAAATACTCCAATTTTGCATGCAAGATGCCTCAGCCAGACAGTGTTGATGAACAGATTCCTTTTTCAATTGAGAAGATAGTGCAGTACCCATTACCCGGTTACGGTTCTCCAACTTCAGTTAATTTTAGTCCTGATGATAATCTTATATCTTACTTGTATAGTCCGGATCAAACCTTAAACAGAAAAGTCTTCATCTTTGATCTGACAACCTGTAAGCAAGAAGTGTTTTTTAGCCCACCGGATGGTGGTCTTGATGAAGATAATCTATCAGAAGAAGAGAAGTTTAGAAGGGAAAGATCAAGAGAGCGTGGTTTGGGGGTGACACGCTATGAATGGGTGAAAACAAGCTCCAAGAAGACCACAATCATGGTGCCTTTGCCTGCTGGGGTTGGTGTCCTTTTTTTTTTTTTTTTTTTTTTTTTTTTTTTATGGTTGATAAATTATTTTATGGCGTTACTTTTTTGCAGATATATTTCATGGATCGTTCTTTACAACCACAGCTGAAGCTTCCCAGTGATACCTCTCCCATTGTTGATCCACATCTTTCTCCGGATGGTACTATGCTTGCTTATGTAAGAAACCATGAACTACACGCATTAGATCTTTTGTACAACAGGTCCAAACGCTTGACATCCGGCGCTAATGGGACCACCAAGGTTAGGCAATGTAACTGCATGACCAAAAGCTGTGTTACTTAGTAGTAGTGTATGACTATAACAATGTATTTGTTGTTTTATGATGACAGACGCATGCTGTAGCTGAGTATATCGCACAGGTAAGAGTCACTCGCACATCCAAAATCCAAATTGGTTGTTAATTTTGGCATGTGGAAATGAGCTTGTTTTGAGGTTGTTGTAGGAAGAGATGGATCGAAGGAATGGTTACTGGTGGTCCCCAGACAGCAAATGCATAGCTTTTACGGAGGTGGATTCATCTGAAATACCTGTTTACAGAATCATGCACCAGGGTAAGACCACAACCGGCTCAGAGGCTCAAGAAGAACACGCCTACCCTTTTGCGGGGGCCACAAATGTGAAGGTCCGTCTTGGTGTTGTCCCTGTTATTGGTGGGGCCGTCACCTGGATGGATCTTTGCTGCGGTGGGAGTGGGACCGATGGCGTAGACGAGTATTTAGCCAGAGTCAACTGGATGCATGGAAATGCCCTGATCGCCCAAGTGTTAAACAGGTCTCATTCCAAACTTAAGCTCCTCAAGTTTGACATCAAAACAGGCAAAGGAAAATGCATCTTTGTTGAAGAACACGACAAGTGGATCAATCTGCATGATTGCTTCACACCTTTGGATAAAGGCGGCGGGTTTTTATGGGCCAGTGAAAAAACCGGATATCGACATGTTTATCTGCATGATGAAAAGGGTGTGTGTGTGGGACCCATAACGCAAGGTGAATGGATGGTTGAACAGATTGTGGGGGTGAATGAAGCCTCTGGGTTCATATATTTCACCGGAACATTAGACGGGCCTCTCGAGTGTCATCTTTATCGTGCTAAACTGTCTCTTCCAGTAAATCCATTAGAAGGGCCTGTGAAGCTGACACCTGGCAAGGGAAAACACATTGTGGTGCTTGATCATCAGATGCAGAAATTTGTAGATATTCATGAGTCTCTGGATTCGCCTCCTAGAGTGTCGCTCTGCTCGTTGCATGATGGATCCCTGATTAGGTGTCTGTACGAGCAACAAGCGGCTACAATCCCAAGAGTGAAGAAATTACAGATCGACCCTCCAAAGATGTTTGAAATCCAAGCGAAAGACGGGACGCTTCTTTACGGGGCTTTATATAAACCGGATGAAGCAAAATTCGGACCTCCGCCTTACAAAACCATGATTGCTGTGTATGGTGGTCCGGGTGTACAGCTTGTGAGCGATTCGTGGGCCAACACTGTTGATATGAGAGCTCAGTTTCTTAGAAGTAAAGGCATCCTAGTATGGAAGGTTAGTAGTTGTTTAAAGTAGAATTGTAATATGCTATTGCTATATGCTAAATGTTTAGATGTTATTTGTTTGTACTTTGTAGATGGATAACAGGGGCAGCTTGAGGCGAGGGCTGGAGTTTGAAGGTGCAGTGAAGTACAATTTTGGGCGTTATGACGCGGAGGACCAGGTGGCGGGAGCGGAATGGCTGATAAAAGAAGGGCTGGCGAAAGCGGAGCACATTGGGTTGTACGGGTGGAGCTACGGAGGATACCTGTCGGCCATGGCACTGTGTCGGTTTCCAGAGATGTTCAGGTGTGGGGTTGCTGGTGCACCGGTGAGCTCATGGGACGGGTATGATTCGTTTTACACAGAGAAGTATATGGGTATGCCCGATGAAAACAAATCGGGTTATTGGTTCGGGTCGGTGATGAACCATGTGGGCAAGATGAAAGGGAAGCTGCTGTTGGTTCACGGGCTGATTGATGAGAATGTTCATTTCAGGCATACCGCCCGCCTTTTGAATGCCTTGGTGGCTGCTCGCAAGCCGTACGAGCTGTTGCTGTTCCCGGATGCACGCCATATGCCTCGCCCTCTCAAGGATCGCCTTTACATGGAACAAAGAATTTGGGACTTCATTCAAACCGCATTATGAAATACTTGGTTTTTTTTTTTTTTTTTTTTCTTT